AGAGAGAGAGAGAGAGCATTAATCAAGGATGGGCTTGAAAGAAACCCATAGCTTTTCAGCTACAAGCTCTTTTGAGAGGCCAACCCTAATCATCTCAACTCACCATTATTCTAATGTTGGAGAAGTGGAAGTCTACTAATTCCACTAAAAAAGCAATAGAAATTCTTAATATGCATTTCCAATCTGTGTACCAAAAACCTCCGATTTGCACACCAAACATGAACACTTGAACATAAGGTAACATGGACACTTATAATAAGGTGATAAGAAAGCATGACATCATCTTTTTGATGTACTTCTAATTCTTTACCCTAAAATCATGCATGCAACCATTAGATACACGTCCCCAAAGCATTGAATAGGTCCAATAGAGATAGGCCAGCACCATAGAGAGGTTTTATCATAAACAAATATCGGGCATGCAAAATCCCCTTTAAGACCACAAAGGAAATTTTTAATAATTTTAGGGACCTACGCACCAACTCTTAGTATCATCAAAACCCACTAAAAACCCCATAAAGAGAATTAAGGGAAAAGCAACTTCGGCCAATCCCTCCTTTAGAAACATATAAAATAAGATATGAATAATTGATCCAGTAATTGTGGGGACCTAAATACTATTCACACCAGCTCATCCATGCCCCACCCAAATCATAACCCTAAGCACAAGTAAAATAACATCAAAAAGCAAAATACCAAACACGGTTTAATTGTACCTCAAAGTTTCCAATTGAGAACATGAGTAGTGCCATCAATCCACACATAATATCATAAATGTAAATAGTACTAATACGGGTAAATTAAACTAAGTTTTTGCCGATAGCAATAACCGTAACAATAATATCAGCAAACCATATATTTTATTGTTATTGGTTACTAATGGTAATAAGTAGTAAATAAAGATGAAAAATACCAGTTTCACATAAGTCCCACCCCCAAAAGACATTTTTATTCTCCAACGATACCTGAACACAATACAAAAAATACAAGAGCCTTCCACTCTACCATTGTTAAACTTACGGCAAATTTAAAGTTTTAAGTACAAACTACAATCACCCTAGCATACTCCCTACTGTACTCCCACTTCCTTTCACCACACATACAAAAAACCAAGGCTATGGCCCACCACAAAATGATACCCAAGAGGCCCGAAAAGCAACTTTCCAGCATGATCTACACTCACATGACCCTACACCCATTCGCATTCTCGTCGCTAAAGAAATCGTTACTTGGAGGTGGGGTATAGTAACCATGGGGATGAGGTGGTGTATAGTAATCATGTGAGTACGAATCCGGTGGAGTATGACCCACTGAACGCGGTGTATAATAATCCGGCATTGGTGGTGGGTATGATTCCTGCCGAGCACCATTCCAGACCACATAAGAGCTGGGGCGGGGAACTGCCATATTGTAGTTCACAGCCACAACTGGCGGGAGTGGATCGTAGAGAGGTTGGTGTGGAGGTTGGTATGGACTACCATAATGCGCCGCCATAGCGGCCGGGATTTCAACTTCGCCATCGTTCCTGCCGGAATTCTCGCCCACCCCTCTCTTTCCACTGAAATTTTCACCGGAATTTTCACCACCACCTCTTTTCCCACTGAAATTTTCGCTGGGAATTTCACCACCACCATTCTTTCCATTGACATTATCGCTGGAATCTTCACCACCTTCTCTCTTTGCTTTGAGATTTTCACCTGTATTGTTGCTTGCAGCCCCATGGCCACTGGAATTTTCATTTTCGCCCCCATTAGCTATGTTCACTTTTTTTTTTGCCTTTCTTTTTACCACCACCACCACCACCACCACCACCACCGGCACCGGCACCGCCACCGCCACCGCCACCGCCGCCGCCGCCACCACCACCACCACCACCACCACCACCGCCACCACCTTCTCCACCATTTCCAGTGGTCTTATTTGCATTTCCGGTGATTGGCTTTTCATCATCAGCTTGTTTCTTGGGTTTGTCATTGTTTGAATCTGGTGTTTTTGCCGGAGAACTACCATTTTTAACAGCTTCTTGGTTGTTTTCATGGGACTTCTCATTGTTTTTCCCCTTCTCTTTGCCCCAATTTTCAGTTGTATTGGGTTTTCCATTGGAACCTTCTGATGGGTCTTTGCCTTTCTTCTTCTCTGATTTGTTTGATTGTTTCTTTGGGGTGTTATCTTCCTTCTTTTGCCACAGTTCGGCATGTTTTCCCGATTTTAGAAGCTTTTTAATGAGGGTATCTGCATCTACGTTTCCGGTTACTATGACCTTCTGTTGAGTTGAATCTATAGTAGTCTTATAAACCCCTGTAAAACCCCACGGATACAATGCCCAAAAAAAATAAATGAGAATGAAATCAATATCAATGCTTACAGACCATCTGTAAATAATGAAAGCACGATTAATCCTTTCTTATGTTCAGAAAACCAATTTGTTTTCTGGATCGGAAAGAAGAGAATGAATAAGACGAAACAGAGTAAATAGCACCACCATAAAACAAAAAAGTGAAAATATTAAACAAGCAGTGTTTTTACCATGTACAAAACTTTTGAAAATATAGAGTCCAATATAAAGGAAAGAAAATGATCAGTGTTTCTAGCCATGAAAAAAACTAACTGAAAGTGCAGTCAAAAGTAAAGGGGAGAAAAGAATGAACAACCCAGTTTTCTTACCACTGAATCTCTTTAAAAACTTTAAAACTGAAAAGGAAAAACCCCATTAAATTCAATACAAACAAAACACAGTGAAAACTTCAAATCCAGTGGTATCATTTACATTTAATGCATTACAATGAATCATTTAGGAGCCTTTAGACTCAGCTCAATCCAAAAAGCCACAAACAAAAAGAAAAAAGTTGAGTATGAAGCCTCAGTACCATCAACAGATTGCAGAACCTTTTTCACCTTCTTCTTGCAACCTTCACAGTGAATATAGACCTTCAGCTCCCATGTCTGCAAAACCAACTTGTCTAAGAAACCCTAGGGAGAGAGAGAGAGTTCAAAAAGGAAAAGAATATAGAGAGAGACATAGAGATAGAGATAGAGATAGAGAGATGAAAGCTAGTACCTGGTATTTAAGAGGCTCTAAGGCTTCTTCAGCGTCCATTTCTTTGCTGCCTGCAAATGCTTCGTAAAGAAGAATGAAAGATGCTTAGGTTGATGGCTCGAAGGGAAGAGTAAAGCAGGGTTCCTCAGAGCTATTAAAGAGAGCAGAGGTCCCATAATTCCCCCTACCCTCACAATTACACATAATGACAAAAAAATCCCTAATTCCTGATAAATCTCAAAAATATCCTCATCCTTTTCTTTATTTCCAACATACTCTGTATCAGTCTCCCTTCCACTCTGCCCTCCGCATGGGCAGTCTCGCCATATATGAATGATTTTAAAACATATATATTAGTTTTTTTACGTTGAGGGTATTAAAGATAATTTTTGCAGTTAAAGGAGAATAAAATGGTATTAATTTTTTTTGGGAAGTACTTAGTGGAAATGACATGACGGGTCAGTCTTTTGATACGAATGATGACTGAAATGCCCTCACCTTTTTCCAAATATGACCCAAGTGCCTCCGTACGAATAGTCGGAGGGGATGTGCCTATAATTATTGCGGGCGAGGCGACACCGTAATTTGGAGAGAAATAACGGGCCGTTTTTGTCATTTTGGGTAAATGATGATTGGCTTTTTCTGACTAGGTGGGCATTTTTGGTTTTTTTTTTTCTCGAGAAAATGGCCGCAAGAAATCCGGCGGCAAAAACCTGAAAATGACGAAACTACCCCTGGGTTCTTCTCTCTAGAGAGAGTGAGTAGTTTACCGGACGGGACACGCGGCACAGATAATGCTTTCTCTCTCTCTCTCTCTCTCTCTCTCTCTAGGATGGCTGCTTTCTCGTTCCTATTTTGCATGTTGAGCACTCCCTTGCATATTCTCTCTCTTGTAGAGCGGGTCGACTGGCCCGGCCAAGGACGCAGTCAAATTAGAGTGTCGGCCATAAATTATAATCCGAGGGTGGGTTGCCATGACCCGAAGGGCGGCCCAAAGAGATGGCAGACCCGGTTTTGCCCCAATCGGCCTTATCTCTTCGTTATTTTTTTTAATTTGTTTTTTAAAGGGTACAAGGCCTAGGTCTATGAAAAATCAAATAAACTGGACGTGCAGCCAGAAGCTGTTCAATCGGCCTAAGCAGTTAACTAATCAGTTCAACCAGCTTAATCGGACAACTTCTAATCGGTAAAAAAAAGTGTTAAAAATAAAATAAAAACAAAAAATCAAATAAAATATAAATAGTATATTTAAAACATGATTAAACAAAAAGTACATCCAAATGAAGTTGAAAATTAATGAAAAAAAGATTTCAAAGAATCGATTTGTGCACAGGGTCATTTTTGAAAAAAATTTTAAAAAATGAGAAAATCTAGAAATAAATATTAATGGCCAAAACAATTTCCTATCTTTGCCAAAATGATAAAAAGCATTAAAAATGTATTATAAACAAAAACCCTTGTTTTTGAGGATTTCAAAAAAAATTATATAAAATCCCCGATCGGTTCACCAAATTAGGAACCGACCAATGGGTGGTTCCGATCTAATCGGACGGTTAGAATTTGAATCGTCTGATTTTTTTCCTGTTCGGGCCTTGTTCATACCAGGCCCGGCCAGGCCGCAAGGGAATAGGGTCAGGTTAGGGTTAGGGCCAAGGCTAGCCCAACCCAAGCACAATTTGTTGTCGGCGCTACTCTATTTATGTTTTAAATTATATTTTTTCTTTTTTTTTCCTAAAAGACACTCCAACTGGTTCAATCGTCTGTCAAACTAGACCGGGCCTCTCCTTGGTTCAGTGGCGATCTAATAACATGGCTCTGGCCCAATCCAATCCTTTAGAAATAGGAGAAGTTCATATAAGGTGGACTGCATAAATAAAGCATACTTCAAAAATCTACCTAAAAAGTCGTCTCAACATCAAAAAACCCAATTGCTCATCTCGAAATCGAGATGCATCAATAAGAAAATAAAATAAAAGATTTTAAATCTTATTCATCTAGACAATCTTTTTTTTTTAAAAAAGAGTATTTATAGATTAGATCAATCTAGGGGCCGTCATTTGTTACGACGGTAAAAAGTTCTGAGAGCAGCTAACGCAAGAGCATAGGTTCGAGTTCTGAGAGCAGCCACTCTTGTGCATAAGCCAAAAATTAAGATCGTTTCCAAACCACCTCTCCTAAAACACCTTGTTTAGGAGGGACCAGCATCAGGTTACCACCCTTACAGATTTCATCAATCTGCATTATTTTTAAAACTTTAAATTCGATAATTAAGGCATAAATAAATTTTAAACTATTCTCAAGTTTATTTGCCTGCATCTTTTAGCAAGATCCACAGGTGCATCATATTTCAGTTTATATATGATACACCATTACCCTCTAGAAATCTCTATCCAAACCTTCACATGAGCATGTGTTGTAGGAAGACAACACAATCTATCAAAATGGCATCAACATAATTATCTGTTTATGATAATGATAGTTTCCAGTTTCGACTCAGTGGATATATTTCAATTCCTCACAACCATGATGAGAAACACAAATTAAAAGCAACGATTACCCATATAATAATTCTCTTCAAATTGTGAGCCCTCATCCACCAGAAACATGGGTGAACATTAGTTAGGGCAAAAGTGAGTATCGCCACCCTTATATAGGATAGCTAAGAGCAATTTAGATATAAAAGTTATTTTTCAGTGAAAGTATTCAAATCATTTCCTCTTTGGTTGGTCAAAGGCAAAAGGGTCTGGCAAGTATTTGTGGTGGGTTCAAGCCCTTGACCAAACATTGAAGGCTCTGGTTGTTAGGACTTTGAGCCCATGTTCGAACCCATCGTATTGGGTGAGTAAATTTTAGGACTTTGAATTTTGGGGATGTAATATTTTCAGTCTATAAATTAATTTCAATAAAAAATAGGAAAATATTCTATGAGTTAGCAGGTAGAAGAGCCAACTAATTCCTCGACGTCCATCTATAAGATGGACGTTGTGTGAAGCGCATGGGGTCAAATCAAATATGGACCGGTGCCAAAACATCCCCCTCCAAAAAACAACAAGTTCAATTTTTTTTTTTTATATATATATTTATGATCAGCTTCACCTAGATGATGAACCCCTCAAATTTGTGATAAAAAATCCATCTTTAAGGTGAATTTTAGAGGGGGGTGGCACGTGTACTTATGAGTCGGCTGACTCATAGAAACCCCATCCTAACGTCAATGAAATTTTTCATCCTAACTGTATCCTCTATGTACCTAAAATAAATGATCTTTCGAGATTGAATAGAGACCGTTCAATTTTGAAAATGGAGAAATCTAAGTGTTAAAAAAACTCAACTTTCGATTCTTTTTATAATAATGATCTAGTAAGTCTTCAATGATTCCCAAAAGTTCATATTGAAAAAATCCTCCCAAGTTCGTCTTTCGACTGACATTTTAAGACCTAAAAATGTTAGGTCTTAAAATCCTAAATTTTAAGATTTGTAACATTTTTTTAGGGATTATATACAATGATACCATTTACCTATTTTACAAGGAATTTACAATTGCTTGTAACCATCGGATGTGAAATTTGATAGCTTGAGCCTGTTACAAACAATAAATTTTCTTTTCAACTTTATGCTTGGTCAATGGAATAAATGCAACTACCCAAAGTCACATATAAAGGTCAAGATTAATAATGACCACCTTGTACAAAAGATAAAAAGATGAAGTTTCAAAATAAAGCGTCATCTCAAATCCTCATCTAGAAAGCACTTTTGGCAACGTAAATCTCTTCATGATGGATCTAAATCAATTTCTAACACGGACAGTAAAATTTAAAAATAAAAAAATGGGATTGTATACTACGATACCATTTATTTTTAGTACAAGGAGGTCATAATTAGCGCTAGCCATTGATGTCAAATTAGATGGCTTAGGTTTTGTCACAAAGTTCGAGAAAAAAAATTTTGAACTTGGAGCCCAGTCAATGATACATTCGCAGCCATACATTTTAAAATCTGATTGATAAAAGGTCTCTTTATATACTTTTCCTTAAACTAAAGGATGTAATTTCTACAAGGCCTAGGCTTTATGAAAACAAAGTAAAGCCTCATCTCTAGATCCTCATTCAGAAAACACTTTGGGCATATGAAATTTCCATAGTAGCTCTAAAATCAATTTCCAACATAAACTATAAAATTTGAAGCTATAAAAATAACACAGATATTTCGGATTGATGAACACCTATTTTTAAGGTGATATGGACAGTTTAGACAATGTGTTACAATATACACTATTTTTGATGTCTGAAATCTTTAATTTTTCCACAATCACATGGCCGAGGCACAGAGGATCGATTCAAAGCTTTTCTCATGCCAGGACTACAATTTTTAGGAAGTTATGATTTGAGGATGTACGTAACACATTTTCCTAAACAAAGAAGACCATTTTAAAATTAAATTGGTTTATAGTCCTTCAAGTAATATGCTCTGAAGGTAGATGCAATCAATGTTCTATGCAATTGTATAATAAAAACGATCGATTGCAAATTACCAAGAAAGATACCTCCATTTTTTGGGTAAATGCGAAATATCTTTTTGAGAAAATTCCATCAAATTGTATTAATAAAAACGAATATATACCATATATGAAAAATGTCTATTTCTCGACAGCATTGGTCAAACAAAGATGCAATTTGGGTTAGTTTATTGGATTTGGAGAAGTACTTCACAAAACTTTACATAATCTTCCAATTTTATTAAAATATAAGTAGAGGACCCAAAAGGAATCCAGCAACATGGATCGAATTCTATTCCCATTAATAAATCAAAGATTGTGATACATCAAATTCTATTCTCATTGGAAATTACTAAGAAGTTGAGCGAAAAGATAGGCTTTCACAAAAAGTATTTTCTTCATTAAGCTGCAAATCAACAAAATAACAATATAAGTAATACTGGCCTTCAAAGGGAAGATGTAAGTTAATCATAGAGTGGACATGGCAAGGGATGAGTACTCTATACTTCATTTATTGGAAATTCTTGTATCATAATATGTATATGGGAAAAGTTTATATAGAGCCAAGAAACAATCAAATTAGAGCCTACCTCAAAATTTTCACTAGGTGAGGTTGTTTTGACGCTCAAATATCC